ACTGAAGTGAAGGATGCACGAATAAATCCAGTATTGAAACGGAACTGCAATACTGGGCAAGACTCGGCGGGGCTTAGGTAAGCTAAGGCAGTAAGACCAAGAGTATCCTGGTAAGACTGACCCTTTTCCGAATAGCATATAGTGGACAAATTATCAGCAGCCGGTCGGCAGACAGACTAGATTCGACTCCTCTCTCAAGATCAGACAACCATTTCCCTTTCTTTGATTGAACAATTCGCGGCAATATAATACCCCCATAGCGCCATAGGGAGAATCGCATTGATTCATTCATTGATTCATTCATTCGGACATAATATCACAGTAACATGGCAGAGGCTATAGACGCATCGGCAGTCGCCGATGCCATTGCCAACGTGGTTGGTCCCTCCGCTGCTTTCTTGGGCGATCCGCCTCCGCCGTTGCCTCAAGGATGGGTGCTCAAAGAATCTCGATCAAACCCTGGCTGCTGCTATTATTACAATATTCTAATGGGAATTTCGAGCTGGCAGCCGCCTGTTCTAGACGAAGCAAAAGAAGAGCAAGTAGATTCCGGCGCCATGCAAAAGCAACTGACAACGCAACCACAAGACGTTCCAAAATCATATTCAAGCATAACTGAGAGTAAAGCTCTGCCACCAGGAGATTTGCCGAAAGATCCAGAAGTTTCCGAAGACCGATCATCCAAACGACACAAACCGCAGACTTCCTCCAGCTCTGGACCCAAGGAAGTTCGTGTGTTGCACATTCTCAAGAAACACAAAGGCTCCAGAAGGCCAAGCTCCTGGAGACAGCCCAAGATTACTTCTACGAAAGAAGAGGCCACAGAAGAATTGCTCGGTCTTTTGGAGATAATCACAGAAGAAGAATCGAATCCCGAGGAATTGAGGGCGACCTTTGAAGAGATTGCACGCACCGAAAGCGATTGCTCTTCCGCGAAACGAGGGGGGGACTTGGGCTTTTTTGGGCGTCGAAAGATGCAGCCAGCATTTGAACAGGCATCTTTTGATTTGAAAGTTGGAGAATTGACAAAGGAGGTAGTGGAGACATCGAGTGGATTTCATCTTATTTTGAGAATTGGTTGATTGAAATGGACTGACTGATTCACTCGTATTCTGAGATCCAGACTAAAAAAATCCAAATTGTATTTGAATACTATTGATTGTATAAATGCTCTCCGTTCTATTATTTATATATTTCAAATACTCCTTGACTTTTAACATTCGCTCTGTTTGCCCATTATTTTTTGTCTCCCACCAATAACAAACTCCTCTAGGACAAGAAAGACAAACCAGCCCATGATATCGAAAAATGATTTAAAAAGAGCACTGCGATGACGATATGTAATGTATTTGTATTTCTAACTCAACGGTGATGATTGATGTGGATGGCAACGCTGTGTCTTTTGGATCCATAATGCCAAACACTGATGTTAATAGAAATTGGAAAATAAACAGAACTGGAATTCTAGATCCATCTAATAATTATTATACCACTTCGACTTGTGCACCGACAGCTTCTAGCGCCGCCTTTAGTTCTTCTGCCTTTTCTGGCTTCAAGTCCTTTTGGATGACCTTTGGCGCAGACTCCACAAGTTCTTTGGCTTCCTTTAGGCCGAGACCAGCAATGGAACGAACTTCTTTGATAACCTTAATCTTCGCCTTGGCATCGAATCCAACTAACTTCAAATCGAAAATAGTCTTTACTTCTTGGACTTCTTCTACAGGTGCGGCAGCCTCTGCCCCGCCAACAGCTGCTCCGCCTCCTCCGAACTGACCAGGGAATATTTTGACCCCTAATACTTGAATCACCATAGCACCCAAGACGTTCACCTCCTCTTCTGGGAGTGTCTTAATTCTTCCATACAAATCTTCTACTTTTGGTGACTTAAACGTCAGCTCTTCTTCCTCCGCTGGGGCTGTCGAGAAGAAGCTTCTTCCCATGGGCAGTCGTTGTTGTTGCTTGGATAATGACGCCCAAACTCGTCGTGAGTTCCTAGCTGTGTGTCTTAGCGATGACATGTTTTTTTTAAAATCAATGTATTCAGAGGTAGATGTATTGCTCTCTCACAGAAGCAGTACTTGTACTTGTATATAGTCTCTTGTTGTTGCGCTGAGGTGATATTGAGAGATGAGTTTTTGTGATGATGGATGATGTCTGGACGTCGCTACGAAGCTTTTCAGTTCGGATTAGTCAGTCAGTTAAAAGACTCTAAGTATATTATTATAATACGTAATGGACTATTATACCGGTATAAAATAACAAAAGAAAAAGTTGGGTGAAAAGATACCAAGCGATCACCATGCCAAGCTGACACGAACTGCAAACCGGTGAGTCGTCAACCGTAACAACAGCACTACAAACCATTCGCTGGTGACAGATTTTGGACAATCTATTGCAGATCTTTGGCAGAAATTAGATGCAGCACTCAAGATGGACGACCCCTGTGGCATATTCAAATAGACAGCAGTTAGATGTTGGAACGACATTCGGATCAAGCTTACTCCATTACAACTATAGACCTAAGGGCACACTGAATAGGAAAAACGTTCAGGTGCCAATATTGTGGGGGGTCGATGCATAGTCCATCCAGGTAATCGACCACCATTCCTGCAACTTTCATCTGTAAGGCACAGATAAAGCCAGACAGAGCCAGATTTTGCTCTGTCATACTGGTAATGTATATTTGGAGGAGCACCGGGTTCAGAAGAGAAGCTTTGTTGAATGACGCTTTAGACTGGAAGATCTCCACGTTCGTATACACATCCAAAGCTCCTCCGCCGAAGGTCCAGCACGTTACCATACAAAAACCAGCCAGTAGTCTTGGAACCTTCAAACTCCACGGGAAAAGCTTGAGAGGGTTCAGAACGAGAACGAGCATTCACAAATTGTCGGAAGGCTCATCCTGATTTCTGCCGCGTGGCTCGCTGACATCTCCATCTCTGATCTCCAAATTGTTGATTCCTCCAGCATGATCTCCAAACTCCAGATACACTCAAACGACATCATTGTCCCCTAGTTTATCCTCCTTCTTGTCGAGTTCCTCCAGCATAGCACCCATTTCCAACTGAAGCTGGCCTGCCTGTTGTTTCATTGGTTGCAGATCCTTCAGCCTCACTTTGAGACGCGACAAATGATTCAATGAGAAAATCAAGAGTTTCGGATGTCCCAAAAATTTGTGACTAACAAACTCGTTCATGAGTTTGTGGCATCGTAGTATACCCCACATCATCTCTGCAGCATCATGTATTGATAACTTCTTCAAACTAGTCTCATCAAACCCATACTCCGAACCCTATGCAGTTCCACAAATACAGCTTTTATGACTTCGCATGGGAACCTCCACGCCTCTTCTGCATCTTCACACTGCCGCAGGTAAATTATCCTTTGACTTGTGAGGAAATTGGCAATAGCCAACCAATGGTTCCTTGCATCCATAGTGAGGGCGGTTAAGACCGCCAAGGCATCCTGATGATGGGGGCTCATTGGTCTGATCAGCCAACCAATAGTTTTCGAGACCTCTTGGTCCACCCCTTGAGATATCTCGAACTGAATTCCTTGTCTACCATACTGCCTGTCCCATTTCTCAAAACTACTGATCCTTGGTAAAGAGTGACGGCTGCTGGTACCACCTAGGGGTATTGGGATGGCCTTTCGCATGGATGCATAAACAGACGCCATCAGCATGTTATCAAAGCCCCCTCTGATTGCGTGATGATCTCGGGCTAGTACATCATCAATGGCTGATGCTTTCCCTTCCTTTCACACAGTTAACCAACGACACCACATCATGCCCAACAAACCACACTGATGAGCCATCCAAATCCATCCTGGTATGCAAGAAACGCTTGCAATCCTGGACTCCGCCAAACTCACAACCTGCCACGCTGACTTTACCCTTCTGAGTATTCAGTTCCCAGTTGGCCAATCGCTCCTGAAGACTCGGCAAGGAATCCAAGATCAATGGTGGGAGTGGTACCGTGCGCTCTTGTTGAGTTGTCACTCTTGACTCCAACTCAGCTATCTCTTGTTTCAGGGATGCATTCTCTTTCTCGAGCCCCTCTATCCTTGCAAGGATACCTTTTTGTTCTTCACAATTTTGAATCGCTACTAGTTTACTCGTGTCTACTGACCCAAAGAGACTGGTACCCCCCAATGCCAAGGGAGCAGGGACCTTTTCCAGAGACTGTACTCGTTGAGCCAACGATTGTCCTGGGTCCTCATAGAACTCTTCCTTCATCCTGATGAGTCCAGGCAGAATGTGATCGCAAAGAGTTCCCATTGATAGCTCAAGCAAACTCTTTATGTAGTCACTAGACTCCTTCAAGTCCTTTGTAGCAATCTGCATCTCACGGACTCTCGACTCCAAAGTCTCCAATCTAGCGTTCTGGATCGCACTAAATCTACTGATGATCTCCACACCCTTGCACCTAAACAATTCCAACTCCCGGTGAAGCCCCAGCAATCCGTCATACA